TCACTTTAAATATCTCAGTATTAATAACTAAAAACTGTAAGTTCCTATATAAATTGAATTCCCAGCAGCATGCTTCCTAAATGTATTACAAACTTTCACTTTGAGAAGCGTTTTCAAAATAAAAGTCTTTGGAGAGCTTCTGTAAAAACATTAGCCACATAACAAACCCAGGGTACACACACAAACGTCAGAACTGCCGAGGGCATAAACTAGGCTTCAGAGTGAGTTTTACTTTTAAGAACTTTTTTAAATCTATTCTATTCTATTCTATGTTTCTTCGACAGAACCCACCTGAGACCAGGATCCTGTGCTCCACTCTGGTGGACATGCCTGGGTATTGCACGGCTGGACCTGGGCTGGAGAAATGACAGGGCACAGGTAGTGGGCCACGACCTCGTCCCTCTGGTATGTGACCTTTCTCTGGCAGCGTAGGGTCCTGGTCTGCTGACCTCCTCCACATGAACGACTGCAGGGCCCCCACTCACCGGTCACCCAGCTGCAGCAGAGAGCATCGATAACAGAAAATCATTTAGGTGGAATAATAACTGACTCTTGTAAAAGTAGATATAAATGTGGGCGTGATGTACAGTAGGTAGCTGTGGGACAGTGGGAAAAGTACCATTATACCCTGAATAACTACTTAGTACTATCAGAGTACTTCATTTCTTTTCTACCACTTCTTCACAGAGAGGGGTAAGTGAGGGGTGAAGCAGTGGGGTGCGGGGTCGGGGGTAAACCTTGGATCATTCACAGGGTCACTGATATAGAGAAACACACAACCAATCACACTCATTCACACCTGTGGTCAGTTCAGAGTGAAAAGCTAAGTTAATCTGCAGATGGACTGGATTTGAACCAGTGACCTTTTTGCTGTGAGCACTGGCCACTCAGCCACCGTGCGGCTCTGTCTTGTCATCACTCAGACTCTTCCCTCTCCTCTCCTCCCCTCTCCTCCCCTCTCTGCTGATGAAAGTCGACCGTTGCCTCTAAAATAGCAGCAGTCTTGGCCTGGGCACAGACCAGGGCAGTGATTAGAGTAAATGACTGGTCTGACAACCACAGGCTTAGAAGAGAGACATGGTGAGACGGGCAGATGTCTCTGTCCAGTTCTGAGAGGACACGCTGCCACAAAGAGCGGCTCTCCTCACCGCCCAACCTGCTGCAGGGCAGAAGAACGCTTTCATTCTCCTTCAGAAGCCACAGACGAACCAGGCAGCCAGACCAAGCTGCAATTAGGAAGTAGGAGCGATGTCAACCATCGGGACTTAAAAGTACTGGTTTTGGATGTTTGGCTCTGGGGCTGTTTACCTCACCTCACCCCCCTCCCCTCGACCCCCCATGTGTTTTCCCAGGTTTATAAATAACAATACATCATCAGGAGAAAGTGGCTGAAGCTCTTCACTCCGCTGCAGGCCACCACTGACCGCAGTCTTATTTTTGTCCTTAAAAACTTTCACTAACTGACACTGTGTGTGGTTCAAGTGTGTCAAACTGCCGGGGCGAGGACAGGCACTGATATGAAAGTCAACTGAATGTAGGCATGACTTTCTATATTTCTATATATAAATATACATATATATACTGTATGTATATATTTATATACATACAGTATATATACATATATACATAAATATATACAATATACATATATATGTAAAACATACATACACAATTTGTAGCTTTTCGGCTCCAATCTTCACCTGTTTCATAGACCAGCAACCACCACTGTACCTTATAGAAACCAGTACACACTTGGTCTCTAAGTTGAGTCCACGCGGCGTGTGTCGTGGTTCTCTGCCCTGCTCTCTGTAAATCAATGCTGTAAATCGAGCCAGCTCAGCTCAACTTCTTCAACCACAGGCCTGCACAGAACGAGGTTCTTTATTTATTCAGTACTTTTGTAACTTATTCCCTTTTATTGCTCGTCAACCGGGCTTCTCCTCTAGCTTGCTGCGATGCATAATTCTCAGCCTTCTTTAAAAATGCATGCCACTGAGTGGAACATCAGGGCGACCGAGTTTAGCATTAGCACCACATTAAAAATTAGGGAAAGTCGAGAGGTTTTTGGCAGACAAATATGAAAGGGATCCAGACAAAGAAGTCAGACTTTTCTTCTTTTTCTGAATGGATGAATGAATGTTCATTCAACATCTACTGTCCTCGCTTCATGACAAACCAGTGGAGGGTGCTGTAGAAAACACAGCCTCCCTCACAACCCAATGAATTCCTGCCGGGAGTCCAATTACTCTAGAACACTTAGAAATAAATGTCAGTGATTTTTTTTTTCTTTCAAACTGTCTTCACTTATGATTCAAATACAATTTCACTCCATTTCTTTCAGTTCTCACAGTTCAAAAGAAGTTTGGTACAAAGATCACTAGAAACAGACTGATCACAGTGGACAGTTTGTAGTTCCTGACCAGCAACAGGCTGGTCTCTGACCATGTATGTATGTGTATGTGTATGTGTGTGTGTGTGTGTGTGTGTGTGTGTATACAATGCAGCAGCACTTACTATGCAGGGCAGGGCTGTGTGTTGCACAGATGGGAGCCCAGCGTTGGTCTGGTGAGGGGATTACACTGAGTAGAGTTGACCTGGACCTTCAGGTCCTGCAGACAGATTGCCTTGGTGGAGATCCGACCTAATGACAGTGAGTGACAGTTATCTGCATCGTATTTACAATTGGCTACAGTATGTTGTACTGACATTGGTATAATAAAGAACAAAAGACACAGACACACACACACATTCCTTCAACTAAATCTAATCTGATCCTAATCCTTATCCTAACTTGACCCTAAACTTGACCCTAGAGACTTTTGTTCTCATTTTTTCCCACAAATGACTCCATAAACATCAGCCTCGTTGGCGCAGTAGGCAGCGCGTCAGTCTCATAATCTGAAGGTCGTGAGTTCGAGCCTCACACGGGGCATAACCTTATGTTGTCAAAGAATGAACCCCTTCATCAGAGTGACTTATTTTCTTTACTTTAATTATTACAAATGTATGTGTAATTTTAATCCTTGACCCACCACTCATCTCACCATAATCCTAACTTCAGATTTAGCCTTGAACCATAAAATATCCTGTCATTCATTAAGGGCCTGTAAAAATGTCCCCAAAAGAACAAAGTCCCATCACAACTCTTAATTCCCCCCTCCCATTCCAAAAAAATGTCCTCACAAGTATAGCTTTACCAGACAAGCACACACAGCTTCTCTTTCTAATCTGACCTTAATTCTTATCCAAACTTGACCCTAAAGACTCGTTTTGTTTCCAGTTTTCCCACGAATAACCCATAACCATCAGCCTCGTTGGCGCAGTAGGCAGCGCGTCAGTCTCATAATCTGAAGGTCGTGAGTTCGAACCTCACACGGGGCATGATCTTATGTTGTCAAAGGATGAATCTGTTCATCAGAGATTCTTACAGTGAATTATTTTATTTAAATTAATTATTACAAATGTACGCTTTATCTTAATCCTTGACCCAACACTAATCTTACCATGATTCCAATCCTAGCTCCAAACTCAACTTTCAATCACAAAATATCCTGTCATCCATAAAGGGCCTGTATAAAGTTCCTAAAAAGACTAGAGCCCCACCCCAAAAAATGTCCCTACATGTATATCCCTACCAGACAAACACACATACACACACAAACATGTACTTAGCCCATTCAAAGGCAGACTCACCCCCAGCACATGGAGCTGAGCAGTCAGAACGCACCACGCCCCAGCTGTAGTCAGGTTTCCTCTCGGTGCGAGGTAGAGTGTATTCCCACACCACACCTGGGTTCTTTCCCTGCAGCAGAATCTGAGGAGAGAACGGAGTCAACATTTCCGTCTGAAGGTACATTTTATCCAAGGAACTCAAAATAATCCTGAGCAGAACTTTAACTACGAGCTCTCATATATAATTTAACAGCAGCATGACAAGAAATGAACGCAGTCTCTGAGTTGAAAATGGGAAATTTTTCAACAGCAGACAGGAAGTCAAGGAGGCTGGTTACAAATTACAGGTTAATGTAAGTTTGTGTAACAGCCTGTATTTCATGTTGAGCTTGTTGCTATAAAAGCAACATAATGTCACTGTGTTCTTCTACCTGAGATCAGGTAAATACAGGTAGAAATGCACTGATCGACTGGTCAGTGATCAGAAACCTGATGGTGTTGTTTAAAAATAAAGCAAAAAAAACCTGATGGTCTCTCATGGACTGAGGACCATGGATGACATCTCTGCTGAGTCAGATGTATTTTGTTATATATCTATGTATATAAATACATATAAATATACACAAACACAAACACACAGCTACCACCAACCACATGCCCTGTATTCCAGCAAACCAACTCTCACCGATCCTCGCTGCTTTGCCAAATCACATTTTTCCCCTGATCCTCCAGAAGACACACACACCCTGGAAGATTGGAAGCCTTCTTAAAAACCTAATGCTAAGTACACCCTGCTAACCACAACCACAGCGTGAGCATTGTCTGCCAAAACAGAAACTTATATTCAAACATTCACTTCAGGAAGACATGTCCAACCCTGTCTTCCCCACTATTGCCCCACGTTCAGACATCTGTTGCCCACAGCCATAATGAGTCTGAGAGTCTGAACCGTCAGATCTGGTGCAGGAGATAAAAATAATCACCCTGCCATGGTGCACACGGTGACCTTACGACCTCCTGTGGTCACAGATCACACTCATTAGTAAAGAGTGTAAAGAGTCCTGACACTAACACAGCCTTTAATGAGTATTATTGCAACATATAAAAGTTGGATGCCAACAAGGCAGTGAGTGTAAACTGATAACAATGTTTGTATCACACTCTGTACTGCTGTGTTTAGACCGATTAAGAACATGATTTATCATTTAGCAGTAGAAACCTCAGTTCATCCTCAGTATGAGTCGGGGTTTGAACCAGTGACAGACGTCCAGTAAGGCAACAGAACTAAGCACTGTTCCACACAAACACAAACCCTGCAGTAGAGTCATTCAGTTCCTGAATCGTCCATGTTATTGATTCAGATCCTTGTACTGAATCAAGACCAAAGAGTCCCAGTTAGTCCAGTTAGTCCTGGTCATCTGAGTCCTTTAAAGTTGCTGCTGAGCAGACAGCAGGAGTTAGTGGACTTATGGACAGACATTGGACTTATCACGCTGAGCAGACAGCAGGAGTTAGTGGACATTGGACTTATCATAATCACAATCACAACTTATCATGACTCCATTCACTGACAAGAGTTACCAAAAACCACTGAAAAAACTGATGGATGCATCAAGTGGATCAGGTGACGGACTGGAGTCAAACGACTCATGACACATGAGTAAGTGGACCAATAGTTGAAGAGTTTCCACCTGAAACACGGAAAGCCTGGATGATAAGGTTGAGTCAGTTCACCGACATGAGTTAGTTCAAAAGTTGCTGCTGAGTGAACTGGTTCATTTGAGTGAACTGGTTCACTTGAGTGGCTCAGAACAACCCCAGTCCATAAACCGAACCACAAAACCACCACTACTCAGCAGTACTGCAGTACTAACTTTACCCTTCAGACCACAGAGACCAATTTTTGACATTGAGTCTTTTGAGAAAAATAATTCAAGTGAAGCAAACACAGATGTCTCTCAGTCCTGCACGTCGTCCCAGCTTCTCCTTCAAACCTCCAGAGGCAGCTATATTTGTATCTCCTTCCTCCTTTAACCCTTGTAAACCGCTCCTCCACCCACCCCCCACCTCCTTCTCACCAGCTGTGCACTTGTGAACACCTTGTCACAGTTTACACCCTCTCTCCTCAACATTTGGTTTTCTTTAAGTGTTGGAGGCTGGGTGAGGACCCCCCACTCCTCCCACCAACTCCCCCAAGAATCCTCTGTCTCTCTTCTCTGTGTTTCTGTGACAGGCCCAGTTAGTTCGATGGTTTGACTTTTTTCATTTGCAGCTGAAATCCTTTGGGGCTGCCTTTAAGTCCAACATCCAAGAATTAAATTTCTGGACTGTTAATCTTTTAATCCCAATCTCCTCTCTCTTCTTTCTTTGACACCTACTCTTCATCATCATCTCCCTCTTTTGGTAATTGCACGACACATTTCTAAAGATTATAGTCTGTGGCATCTGCAGATTAACAATCTGCTTCATCTGACCTCGCTGCTGGACATGATCTGGACACTCGTAATTAAGACACGGCAGTCTGTTGTTTCAGAGTCAAATGTTGAAGCTGAGACTTAAAGAAGACGATGACATCACTACTTCAGAAGCACCGAAGAGAAAACTTGCGTCAGATATGAAGAGCTTTTAAAGCATCAATTCCAGATTATTGACGGAAGAATCTCTTTTGGTTCATCCCTTGATCAGCTGTCACCACAGTCATGCTTTTTATATTTATATTTATATTTATAATTTTTCCAGATTTTTCTGATTATAAAACAATGTGTCTGGTTGTTTAAAGTGGATCTTAAACTAACAATAACCTGTGAACAAAACACCAACAAAGTACTTTTTGAATAACGTTAATAACATTGAAAACATCGCTGCATAAATGTCTGACAGAACTTTGCATCAACCCATACGGACGCTGTCATTTTTATTTGTCCTGGCTATAAACATTTATTTTCCTAAAACCACATGGGACAACTAAAAAGGACAAAGTCCTCGGTAAATAAAACCATTGTTTTTCCTAAGTAGATTGGACTGTGTGACAGGAAGACTGTGGCAGTGCAGAAATGATCGCAATGCAGCTAAGAATAAGAATGGAAGTCGTCCCCAGGGCACGATCCTGGAGATTATAATTAAAAGAGTGCGTCTCTGCAAACCATCATGTTGCACAAGTGAACAAAAATAAGAGTCCAAACGCCGTCTACGACAGAAATCCCACTAAAGTGTCCACAAGCTGAAGAGTCTTTTTTTAAATTGACCAACAAAAACAATTCCTGATGGTCAGTGAAGTACCCAGTACTTCAGAAACACATCTGGTACTACAGGCACGTCAATCCCAATTTACTGCAGTCCTACACTGGTATGAGGTAATGAAAGAAGGCAAACTATTTCACCAATGGAGTGGAACGCAACTAACGTCTCGTCTTCACCTGGTTTCTACTTTTGTTGTTTCAACGCAGAGTCAGGGTTCAAGCCAAAATAAATGCTTTCACTGACAAAGTTATGTGGGAAGAACCTTCATTTTAGACTCGGCGGGCGTGGGGGAGGGTCACAAAAATAAATCACTCCGCCCGTTGTACTGCTGTTGTCACAAAGATATACCGACCCAGCAGCACAATGGGCTGATGGTTGACTTGCCCTCTGCAAGTTTTCAATTTTTAAAGCTCCACTGAATACATTCAAAACTCAAACCTCTACCAAATGACCCCCCGGACCACTCACTTAACACAGCAGGGCTGATGTAACCGAGCGCCCAAAGTCAATCCCCACCACAGCTTTACAAAAACCTAGCCTGGTTCCCCACCCAGCCATCTTTTTATGTGAGCCCCATCCTGTTCAGACAGTCCTGTCAAAGCTAATTCATGCTAACGGACGTCACCCAGTGGCAGCGGCTTACTTCAAACACCAGCGTCTCATTAGTCGGTCCGGCAGCATAAAGGCTCTCGGGCTGGTTGGACGAGCGCTGGTACACGAACTCGGTTCCGCCAAAGTGAAACTTTCCTGGCCAGTCCACAGTCCAGTCCCCTGTCAGGTGGTACTTCCTTTTGAGGTTGCGTACGGCCAAATAGCTGCTGGACGCCACCATCTCCTGTATGTGAATGCTCCTCGCCCCGGTTGGTACTGTTACCACGGAGTAGTACTCTGAAAAGTGTAACAAAAAGTAGATTTGTTGAGGACATTTTCAAGCATCAAAGACATCGGTCCATTATTAATTTTTCAGTGTAGACAGTGGACGTGGTGTCCAACCTGCTGTCCTGAAAAGCTCCATGAAACCCAATCCATGAAAGTGGACAAAACCTGGTAAAGCTCCATGAAACCCAATCCATGAAACTGGACAACACCTGGTCTTGTCCCAGGAGCAGCAATTTTTGGTATTTTGTGAACAATGAGTTAAGAAACTTAGCAGTGTGAACCTTTATTAAAAAACATTAAATACTCCTATGGGCCATACAAATTGACTTGGTGGGACACATTTGGCCCACGGGCCTTGAGTTTGACAAATATGCACTAGCTCATGGGTCATTGTTGAACCAGAAGGCCTGAACAACCACCTACATACACTAATAACACTCCCCCGACCAGCTGTTCCTCCATTACTGTTCTGGTCGGCATGAGGTAATAAAGACGTTTAAATCTGGTCGGCATGAGGTAATAAAGACGTGTAACAATCCGAGATTTGAGTCAAAATACCCAGAAGCCACTCATCGCACCTCTGAATTTGTTACTCGTTACGAAGTGTGTAAAACCTTTACTTCAGATACAGGTAAAAACCAGGACGGATCATTACCATTGGCCCATTGTTGAACGGTGTATTCTCCCCTGAAGAACCTGCAGGTGGAATTGTCTCCATTACAGGCTCCACAGGCGTCCAGAGAGGCTTTGGAGCCCAGAGTCTGGTCACAGCCCACTGCCTACAACAACAACAGGGCTAGTATCAGTACCAGGAGTGCTCGGATACACTGTACTACCCACTTCTGCTGGGTCGACTACTCTTCCACAATCTAATTGACCAATCACGTTAAACATATCTGACAATTCTAAAAAATTATTTGACTAATTTACTTCATTCTAAAGGAATCCAGTCATATCCCTTTTCATTCTTAAAATTATTGTAACATGTCCACGTACCTCACACACCCCATCGATGCACACACCTCCCTCCCCATCGGAGCAGGTCGTACCATCTTTGACCTTACTGGACATGGCGAAGAAGAAGTCAAAGTCCTCGGCAGAGCAGTAGAGTTTACAGGTGTCTTCAGCTGCAGAGAGGACGAAGATGAAGATGAGGGTCAGTCAGAAAGTCCTCAGACAGATGTTTATCATTTCTGCAGGTGTCAGCTGCGTGACCTTTGACCTAATCAGATTTTTATTGAACCCTCGAACACAAAGCATTTTTTAAAAATCTAAACAAATTGTCTAATGGTTGAACAGCCCTAAACTTCATCCACAGATTATTCATAACTTGTCTGAAAATGAAATGTTAGAATGAAGTGAAATGGAAGCCTGCAGTGACAGTGTCCGCTTCAGTGTACTGTATTTGATGTATTCAAATCTGTGTACAAAGTACCCTGCGGGGAGTGAATTGGAGAAGACAGTGACAGTGATTGCACCGAGGGAAATTCACGTGGGGCAACAGGTTTATTTTGTAGTTCAGATCAGTTATCGCTGACAATTCTCCGCAGCCATGTTTGATTAAAATAAATGACGATGAAGGTGACTTGGCCCCAGGTCCCAGAAGGCAGTTCAGACTTTGTTCATTTCTACATCACCTCCCATCCATCAACAGCTTAAACAGGCCTGGGACTGCGGCCAAACACACTGCTCTCCCTCACTCCTCTCTCTCCCTCCTCCCTCCTCTCTCTCTCACTGTGTAACAAAGCTGGCCTGCGGGCGTCCCTTTTAAATCCATGCCCGCTGTGTCAGAGAGTGCAGGTGACTGCATGTCTCCCATTCACATTACACAGAATGATCTTTTCCTCCAGCTTTTTTGGTTTTTAATCACTACAGCAGTAAAAGGAGGCCGGTTTTACAGAAGCACTTAATGAAAGAGATTTGGTCCAAGAAAGTGCAGCAGGCTGACAAATAGAAAAAAAGATCCACGGAATTAAAACAGGAAAAATCTTGCCCCGGGGCAATCTGTTTTTGTGTTGGTGTAAATGCTGCCGTGTTCTTTAAACAATGAGACCTTTTTTTTTTTTTAACTTGTGCAACATGATCCAGGAGCGCTGCATATTACATTAACAAAATAATCAGTATGTATTTTAGGTCCGACACACAGGTACAAGACAAAATAAATTTAAAAAAATATTCAATGAGCAGTTATTTAGCACATTTACATGAGTGTGCATTTAGGGGGGTTCTAAAAAGGCCAGGTCATTTTCAACTAGATTTAAACTACAGCAGGCAAATGTGGGTCGCAGACCAAAGGTGGGTCGTGTTGTAGACAGATTAGGCCAGATGATAATATTTCTTTTAATTATGAAAAATATATAAATAAATATTATATATATATATATATATATTCCCTGATCTATTGTAAAAAATATATTTTCCATTACCACACTGTACCTTGAGATTTTCTTTTAGTTCAATCTTTGTATTTCAACTACTTACCAGTAATATATGTAACATAATAACATGCATCAATGTAATCAACTGCATGGTGCATTTTTTGCATGCATCAATGTAATCAACTGCATGGTCATTGATCATTCATTATCAGACACCTCACCGTCGACTTTTGTGTAGGGCTTCCATTTGTAGTACCAGCCTCTGAAAGGCTTGCTGTTGAACTCGGCACACTGCTGGGCCCTGAAGTCCACACTGGTGGGAGGACAGGGCCAAGTGTTGCACAGTTGATTAAAGCGACTGGATCCAGTACAGAATTTTCCATTGTTCTGTGGTCTAGAAGACAAGACAGTAGAGAAGACCTTAGAACTGAAATAAAAATGTACGACATTGTCTTCACTGCAAACATTTCACATCAGTGTCAAGAAACAATGTATCAAACCAGTCTGGTCATTACACCGAGCAGTCTACTAGTGTGGCCCATATGGTAACTTGCTCATGGTGGGTCAGTGGGACATTATGGTACTAAATACTCACCCAATCAAATCATTTTAATCCAAAAGACATTGGAAATACAGTACACACTATACTTTGATAAAGACATTCAGTCTAACTTTCATAAAAAAAAAATTCTTTCCCAAAAGTCTCGTGTTGAGGTCATTCCCCTGGCCTGACACGGCCTTCACAGCATTTAATTAAAAACTCTTCCATGCCCCTGAGGTTTGATGAGCCCCCCACACCAACATGAGATTCAACTCCTGAAGGTCAGATGTCTCTAGGTCGCCTGCCTCATCCCTGTCTCGGGAATTCCCACATGGACACACACTGCAGTGGAACGGACCTCTGTACAATTAAATCAAACCTTCCAGGACAACAGTACAGGAGGACCTGATCCCATTAGGACACTGCCCCCCTCAGGTGTCAAAAGTAAAATGTTCATTACAAAACTGTGGCTTTCCAACTCCCAGCAGCTTCTCCATCCTCATGGATTTTTATGTGAAATTGCATTAGTGGATTTAACATTTACCACAGATTAAATTGTACTGATTGCCCCCACATCACTAAGCAGCCGCCCACCCACCGAAACACATCAGTATCAACACCCAGCAGTCAGCGTTTAGCTGGATCTGCCTATTATCCACGGTGGCTGCCACCAAACCATCCTTAACGCCAGAGGAGTGATAAATGAAGCTGACAGCTAACCTGCTTTAAAGGGCTCCACGGCTCTGTCTGGTCTGTCAGCCGTGGAGTGTAATGTGTATCATATGAGAGCTGGTCTGTCCCTAAAAACATCTTTGATCCCTCAGCAGGGATTAGGAGACAAGTTGGCTGTGACCGACAGGACGGTAACATCAGCATCTGCCTGGTTGCACGGTGAGCGGTGGAGACGTCGGCTGGGTGTAAATAATCTGACTGCATATCAGTGAATATCTGAATGACCTCAGAGGAGCAGAGATATTTCAAAGTACTTTTATATCCCAGCTATGAATACTTCACAAATACCATGAGAGGAGTTTGAGGTTTAAGATCTATTTAGGAGTGAGGACTAGGGTTAGATTAAGGATTAGGATTAGGGATATGTGGGTAGGAGACTAGCACTGACTATCAGAGGAAATGGTTTTAGACCCAACTTTCAACCACCTGGTCATCTATACCACCTCCAAAAAGTTATGCCCCGTGTGAGGCTCGAACTCACGACCTTCAGATTATGAGACTGACGCGCTGCCTACTGCGCCAACGAGGCTGATGTCTGCACTGTTGTGGCGAGACTCAGCCCTTCATCATCGGGATGTTGTGCAGTTCAACACTGAGGAAGGTGATACTTTGAGAAGATTTACAGAATAAATTCAGATTAGAGTGAGGATTAGGATGTATTTGTAATATATTACAATTAGCAGCTCAGTCTCGTAATTATTCACAAGTTTGAGCTTTTAACCACACGGGTAGAGGCTAATATTCTGCAGGTCTCCACTGAGGGAGATGGTATTTGGTTGGTTTGGATTAGAGTCTGGGTAAGGTCCTAGGTAGGGTCAGGATTAGGATTAGAATCAGGATTAGGCATAAATTTGTAGGGGTTACATTGCTGTGCTAGGAAATGATTCGGGTCTATGTAAAGTCCTGACAACACCAGACTGTGTGTGTGTTTGTGTGCAGGGGTGTGTGTGTGTTCCAGGTCTTTGTTGACAGCTAACTGGCGCAGAGACGCTACAGGTGTTTAGAAGAAGAACCTCGGGAAAATAAACCTCCACGGTTGGATTTTTGGCTCGAACCTCGACTTGAATGTTTCCTGACACAGCAGCCACTTGACAACATCAATCACTGCGTCATCTGCTTGGCTAACACCTCCCTATGAAACCATTACAAAGGTAATCTAGTTAAAAGACAATGAAGGAATGCTTTGATGTACCTGGGATTGTTGCAGGAGCGTTCCTTGTACATGACCCCCCCTCCACAGGTTCTGGAGCAATCTGACCACTTGGACCATGATGACCACTGACCGTGGACTGCTCTAGGACCATGCTCCCCAAATTTAACACACTGACCCCGTCGACACCACTAGATTGAAGACAAAGAGGGAAATTAGACACAGAATAACACAATTTTTAGGAAGAATCCATACAAAAGCAGGAGTTGCTGTCTTGACTGATTTTCCTGTTTGGACAAATTTAGTACTACACCTGGACACACACACACTCTGTCAAGCTCCTGCACAGGCAAAGAGACCACACCTATACTAATCCAAGCCAAACCCTGACTTCACCCACATCACACGTAATTTTGTTGTACAGTATCTTTTCAGCATTTTATCACCATGTCATATCATAATTAGTTAAATCATTCATGGAAGTTAGCATTAGCACAGAACCTTTGACAACTGGTCATTAAGTTGACTCAATGAGTTATTTAAAGCAGGGGTGTCTCATTTGGTCAACTTATTTTGGTGTGTCGTTTTCCCCTTTTGTTTCATGCAGAAAAGTACATAAAATAAATCTTCAAATTTAGTGAAATATAGTTTTACAAAACACTTTTTACTGGTAACCAGGTTACCTAAACCTGACCACCGTGACCTTTCCTCACCATGTCTGCACCACAGCTGGTTCCCTCTGCAGCAGGCATAAACTTGGTCTCACATCGATGTCCTGCACGATGACACCACAGAGACTTACAGATGTCCTGGTAACACACAGACACAGAGGTTGTTTAGAGTTTTTCCATCATTCTGTATTTTTTACAATGATGTCATTTTGTAAATAAAACCACTTCAAACCCAGGTGGATGAGTCCAAGTGACACCATATACAGTTTTTGCCCTAGTCCGTTTCCCAGCAATTACCAGAGAAAAGATAGTAGTCTAATCTAATTTGAGCTAATCTAATCTAATTTGAGCTAATCTAATCTAATCTAATCCAATCCAATCTAAACATTGTCTTTTGAGTATATAGTTTGCAGTTCCAGTAATAACAAACTGAAAACAAAGTTTTCCACTTCCTGTTTTGCTCTCCAACATCTGGTGTAGAATATTCTGGAAGTAAAAACCAGCATTAATGTAAACCTGTCACTCACCTTCACAAAGTCAAGGCCGCAGAGTTTGGCTTTTGAGCCAAACTGCCACTTGCACTGTGTGTTGGCGTCATACAGTTGCCCAGGAAGTTGCTCGGGGTATTTGTACTGACCAATCTGCTTAGGCTCGTCCACTAAACAGGAAGCCTGGGGTGTTCTGGTGAATCAGCAAAAACACCAGAGTTGGTGAAACAGAGAACAAAGAAACAACGTCTGCATGTGAACAACACCCTCTCAGAGGGTCAGGCCCACCGTAGGAAGTGGCTGAGGTACTGTCGACTACAGGTGGACCAGGAGAAGACGCCGTTGTTTCCAGTCAGAGTTGGAGACATGATGGTTCCTTCTGTTTTACGACATGGGTTTCCCTCTCCATCGTGGATCATCCCGAAACTGGCAGAAATGACAGGGTTGGAAACTGACTTGAGCTTGAAGCAAGGCAATGATTTTAGTTGTTGATACCAGAGTTTATCTGCAGGAGGTAACCACCCCAGACTCTCCAAAACAACACTCTGACTTTAGTAGTTTGTATTATGACCACACACAGTGTCATCAACATTCTGTTTAACTACAGTGAGGACTGTGGTAGGGTGTAGGCTCATCAGCAGAAGTTGTCCCTAAACTTACTTGTGTCCGGACTCATGAGCGATGGTGAAGGCCAAGCCCAGTCCTGTGTCCTCATTGATGGTACAACTCCTGTACTTACTGCACATGCCACTGATGGGAGCAAAACCTGCACCAACAAAGACACAATTCCAGTAACTAGTCCACCCGAAGCCTCCCCCGTCCCCCGTCCCCCTCAGTGGTCCAGTCACTGCCTTCTGTTATGCTGTCTTTAACTTGACCACAGCAATTATTTCTGTCAAAGGTTCAAGTTCATGGTTTTTGAAGTGATGACCAAGAACGTTGTCACTGTGTTAGCATGCTCTTACCCAGGGTGTCACAGGGTTCGTTCTTCCAGGAGCAGATGTCTAGTCCGGTGAGGAGAACGGCATGATCATGCCGCCTACCACCTTTCCCCAGGAGACCAGACTGCCACTGACAGAAACTGTTGAGGGACTGATCCGCGTGGTGATTTATGTTCAGGCCCAGCTGGAAGAGGAGGCGGGGAAAAACAAATACAGATGATTTGTGGCTTAGTGAGTCAATCATGTTTGTACGCATCCTTTAATCTAGTGGGAAATGCACAGGAAGAGCTTAGCCAAACACAACTTTACAAGGTGGTTACACCCTGAACCGAATCACAGGAGCAGCACTGAGAGAATAAAAACCATAAACACCTAAAGATAGCTTTGTTTTAGTGTGACCAAAAACCAACTGGCCCAGACTGACCAACAAAGCCTGTCCTGAATCCACTCACCGGATCTTTTTCCAGTAGAAGCAGACTGACCACCACAATGTTGATGTCTGTCCCAATGGTGCCATCTTTGAAAAGACTTGAGACCTACAAAAGGACATGAACATACCATAAGTAACAGCAAAGAACCATGGGTAATTTCAAAACAATGTGTCGGGGGCAATACAGTGTATGTAAGGTAGCGTATACCATTCTGGCAGGTATGGTAAACCAGGGGTGCCCAACCCCTGGTCCGGGGACCGGTGTCGGTCCGTACGCCATTTGGTACCCGGCCACAATGGGACACAGTAAACAAAATGTACTTCCGTTTTACTAATTTACTTCATCCTAAAAGTAATCCTTTACTGTTTTCATTCAAAGATAATCTGTCAATGTTTTTAACTTCATTCAAAGGTAATCTGTCAATGTTTTTAAACAACAGGTCAAAGGTCAGGACTCTAATACTAACAGACGAAAGTCTAAAAGATGTTTTATTTTGAAAATGTAATGATCCTTCAACGATGGCGCGGTATTACCGTAGTAACGGCTGATACCGTCCAACTGGTCTGTAGTACAAAAAAGGTTGGGGACCGCTGTAGTAGAGTACAGTACATCATACATGTTTATGTATTTTTTTGTTAGAAGTATTAAAAAGCCCCCCCCCCACGTTTCCCTCGTCCCCTCCCTCTTGCTCTACCATGTTCATGACGGTGAGGATGTAGGTGGTCACGTTGTCCCTGCCGTGTTTCTCCAGCATCTTTCTGTCTGCCACCACGAGGGTCTCCACATTCAGACCCCCCACTCTGTTGGAGTCTATGGGCGATCTCTTTGCCCTGGCTTGACCTTCCAACTGTGGAATCAGAAACTCATCTGGCATGATGAAGCGGTCACCAGGGGGGGGCTTCGGAGCATCTACAAGGGCAAACAGATGGAAAGGAGGGGGGAGTGAAGGGTGAATGAACACACTTCCCTGGACTTATGTCTGGTGGTAGGAATAAAGAATAGCATTTCTCTAGGAATTTTTCTTTTTACCCTTTAGTGCTAGGAAAGATAAGGCTGTAATCTCAGAAAGGTTTTTAAGCCTCAGGTTGCTGTCTCACAGATGTCTCAAATAGATGTGTGATAAAAACATTTAAAAAAAAACCTCTTGATTGATAAAAGGATTACGGTCTTTTTACTGAGATGTCCTGAATTACCATTTGTATGGTTTGATGATCCGTCGTCTTAGTGAAATATTCTACCTCTCCTCAACCATGACGATTAGCTGTTGTCGTGTTCGTACTAATGCAGACTCTTATTTAGGGAAAAAAATACTTGAATCTGGTTGTATTTCTAGAGTATGACATTTAAAGGGAAATATGACAATTAAATAACTAATGAATGGGAATCATTAAAAAACTGTACCAATCTCTTTAAAGGTTGACGACGGGTTTGGTAAAAATTAGGTCATTCATTCATATTTTTAGCTTTTAAAAACGCACAATTAAATAACTAATGAATGGGAATCCTTAAAAAACTGTACCGATCTCTTTATAGGTTGACGACGGGTTTGGTAAAAATGAGGTCCATTCATATTTTTAGCTTTTAAAAACGAATATATATATAGTTCAAAAGCAATACTACAGTATGTAAATACACTTGGTGAGATTTAAAAGAATATTTTTATTCCTACATAAAAACATAAAAAAAGTCCACTTAGAGACAAGTTTCTGAATTTGATCCACTGTCTACAAATCAAGTGACTTGATCATCTGTACTGTCAGGAAGAATCAACCCTGAAACCAGTGAAGGAGGAAAATGAACAACATTAAAGGAATAGAAGGTTCCCTTACATACATTGCTTGCGGCGTCCGCAGAAGTACTGCCTCTGCAGGGTCTCCTGATGATGAAGACTGTGGTGGAGATGTTCCAGCTGCTGCTGCTGCTGATGATGATGATGATGATGAAGGTCTGGAGTCTCTGGTTTCGAAAAGCTGTTGTGTTGTTGTTGTTCATCGCCAGTCAACTTTTGGACAATGTGTTCAACGGAGCGTTTGTAGACAACGTGTGGGTGGTGACCACTGGGGGCACTGTAGTTGTGCTGTTTGGCCAGATGTTGAGGTAGTGGAGCAATTAAATATTCCTCCTGAGATACACGAATAAATCCAGACTAAAAAAAACAAACAGAGAAAAGAAAGTTTTTATATTTTGACAACGTGACCCACACCCACAAGGCTCAACAGGGTCACTGCGGTGCTTTGACTCTCCTCCTGGAATAGAGTGTCCTCAGCTGCCCCCTGAACTGAGGATCCAAACTAATGAACCTTAAACATTCCGTCTCTCCAAATAATCCAACCTAATTCACTCCACTACCCAGGAAATGTACACAAAATACCTGTGCAATCACTCAGACACACACACACACACGAAACCATACATTCACCCGCTGCACTGGTTTTATCAAAAACATAAACCCACTGACCCACTAACCTCTGGTCATGAGAAGGTGTACAAGGGGGAAGACGAGGTGAGAGAGAGAGAGAGACCTGCTAAACTTCTGACAGAGTGACCTAATTCCACCCAGACCATCGCGGGGCAGAATAATCACAGTGGGGACAAAGGAGGAACCATGTGGAGATTCTAGTTGTCAAAACTGTGCCTCAATATGTGGCAGACTGCCATGATTGGTCCACTGTGTTTAGATGTCGCTTCATCTCTTCACACTCCAATCACTTCTCTTTTTACATCCGTGTTCTGTGGCATGCTGGGAAGTTTCACAGAAACCTGATCATTATCATCCTGACCACACGTATGGTCCACATGGTACACTAGTTTGTACTTTGGGTTGCACACTGTAAATTGTTGAAATTCCTGCGTGAACTTCTTGTAGGACAGGGGTTTTCAAAGTGAGGCACACCTCCCCAATGTGGCCGCCAGGTCACTTCAGTGGAGGCACAAACCCAAGAAACTGGCTAGCTTACTAAGCTAGCTAAATTACATTAATCTATACTTCAAGATTCTTATTGTCAGATAATCGAGGTGCAGTTTTACTCTGACATGAGACGTGTCCTTATCCACCATGTCTCCCACTGCCTGACTGCTCCTTCATGAGGACACCCCAGCTGTGGCTCAGTAGGACAGGTGGGCGGGGGCACTTTTGCTGTCCTTGAAGAGTGGCCAGGCAAGCGGGAAGACATGGTGAACCACGTCTTCATTAAAACAGCTGACAGGGACACTTCACAGAGACACTTGAGGAGGACAGGCGCTCACTGTCCAAACATGTCCAGGTAAAACCTACTACTGTTTAAGTATAAGAAACTTCACATATTTAAAAAGAAACACAGAGAGTAGACACATTTATCAAATGAAAAAGAGAGAAACCAGGACCTGGGCCGGACTGGCTGCAGATCCATAAAAAAATAATTGGTAGTGAAAAGAGAGCTAGCAAAGGTCAAAGGGGGTGAGTCCCATCAGAACACCACTGTCACGTCTTGTTTGCCCATTGTTTCTTCTGTCTTTGGCTCTGGCAGTTCCAACAGACCTGGCCTGTTAGAACACAGGCCTCATCAGAAATTCCCTTTTTACAACATGAAAGACTTTTCCTTTCTGACAACCTCCTCCTGCTGATACATATCACTGTTATCAGCAGGCAACACAGGAGATGTAGTTACACCTCCCCTCACCCCACCTCACCCCACACTGGTCTTTCTGGGTCAACGTGAAAAAGTGCTTTTGCAAGAACACAATATGAACCTTTAAAAGACTGAATTAAACCCACCCTTCATAGAACTGCAGTATAACTGCAGCCTTCTGTAGGCGCACTCGTAATCATCACATTTCCTCACATTTGTCGTTCTGGCCTTGTGTCTGTTCTAGATGTCAAACTTTCAGCTCTTACATTGAAATAACACAAAAAAGGACATGTGTTTGATGGGTGTGTTAGTTTCTAAGAGATGCAGCTCAGTACCAGGTGACTCCCTCCCCAGGTGTTGCTGACAGACCAGTGTGTATCTTAGCCTGTCAATGACTGTGTTCAGATCAGCATTATGAAGTATCTACAGAAGTTTTCTGTCTAGTTGCAGTCCCATTTCTCCAGCTCTCCTTCACTGCTGTCCTTGCTGACTGATTACAGGCCGGGCCATGCCACTTCCTGTCCAGCAGTGGTACTATTTTGAGCACTTGAAATAAAATAACGTTTTGTTATGTTTTCGTGGGTAAAGTCACTGCGAGACGTTCCAACAGACGATCTCTGTTTCGAGCAACATACTTGGGGAGAGAAGGCATCAATTGCTCATCTCTGTATAAACTCTCACTCCTTTAAAGGTTTTCCCAACATGATATTATAAGGCAAATGAGTAAGTGCTTACATGCTGTTAAAGACTGGGGTCCAGTGGCAAGAAGCCTCAAGCTGGTGATTACTGCACTGGCAAGCACATCTGCATGCCGGCTTAGCCAGGTCACGTGACCACAGTCTGTGAGGCGGGGGGGGGGCTTTAAGATGAGGAGGATTTAGAGATGTTCAAAGCCCAAGTTCCAACAAGCAGAACGATTCGCATAAGTCTGGTTTAATACCCGATGTTTGCATTTTCATACTTTAAGATTAGTGGGTTCAGATACTTTAAACAGAACATTAAAAATAGAGGCAGTGAGGAATGAAAAAAGCTCAAAATATAATAATAATAATAATAATAATAATAATAATAATAATAATAATAATAATAATGCAAAGTGGAAACATCAAGTATAGCTAAGCCATCTTTCTCAGTACTGGTTAACAACTGAACTTATCTGTTTATGTAATAGTATCTGTCCATTGACCTCCCAGGTCAGGTTCCATTCACTCCTTTATGTCTTTATGAGCCGAAAGACAATAAGGCAGACGTGATTCTGATTCTGGGGGTATCTGAGGACGACAACACAATTTGACCCTGTGGTGTGCTAACAATGTGACTGATGCTATGCTGTCAATCATCAACAATGGCCACAAGAGGGCACTGTCCAGAATCGTGGCAACTGAATGCAGCTACTGTAGCACTGGATATTAAAAAACATAATCACTAAACTGTGGCACAATAGTTTGAGATGAGAGGTCATCAGAGGGACCGCTGAAAATGATCTAATTTCCCTTGGGTAGAAAATGTTTTGTTTACCGCAAATAATTTGTCTCTGTTCGACAATGCGGGATTGACAGGTAGAACAAAATACTCTTCTTTGTGTGTCTTTCTTCAATTCTTGTGAGTATATCAGTGTTGTGTTCAACCCCATCTGTCATCATCAAGTCAACGTGTGCAGCCCCAAACAGAAAAGTAAGTTAATAGTCTTTCCGAGTAAATCTTCGTTCATTTTCAAATAAATGTTTAAAAAAAAAAGTGACTTATGGACGGGTGAAACTTGCATGTTACTTTTCACAACTAAAATTTTTGACAGATGTCGCTTAAACTCTGATGATTACCATGCATGTTTTACAGTGGGTAATTGGCATTTTAATTATAATTCAAATGTGTTAACATGTCTTTTTGTTTGACTTAAAATGTATGTTCAAGTCAAGGGACCACAGCGGTTTGTTATTTCACTTCATGCCAAGATGGAGAGTGAACACAACATCTGGCACACAGATCTAAATTAGACTGTTGCAGAGTGTGAACACATTCAGACTTTTTCTGCTGGGTTTGAACAGTTAAGCTTAACAATGTGAAAAGATTTAATTACACAGCACAGCTGCTGCTACTGGAGGATCTGTGAGAAGGCCAGAGTCATTTACAATCAGCGCATTTATCACAGCATATCTGGAAAACCCTCCTCACGTACAGCGCAAATGACCACAGTGTGTCAATAGCCCAAGGTCCAGTGGTCGTTGTCTGGCCCACATTAATTGTCTTTGAACGACCCCACATCACCCTGCTCTGAGCATATCAGGGCAACAGAGTGGAGAGGGTGCGAAGAGAAACTAATAGTGACAGATGAGTCGTCGGTCATTTGGAGCCTATGGGCAGAGTTACACTCGTTATCCACAGCAGGACACGGGAGGGCGACGGCCGCACGGGTCCATACAGATGGAAATGTCCTCATTCAGTGTGTCGTTAACTGCAGTCCGAGTTACGGTCCTTTTAAAGACTGAAGATACAGCAGCGTTGTCATGTTAACGACAACCTGTTTTCATTTGAATGAACCGATGAACAAATGTAAATGTCTGAGCAGAAGTCATATACTGATCTTTCACATCCCAAGACAACCTGTAGGAACAGTGTCTTAGTCCTGATAGATATATGCTAAATACATGCTATATACACTTGTTGCATGCTGATATATGCTAAATACATGCTATATACAGTAGCTTGTTGCATGCTATCGACCGATAGCATCTAGCATGACGGTGGCATCTCAGCGCCACATGGGTCATAGTCATGGGTTCGATTCAGAGAAACAACCATACTTGGTGCCACCTAGGGGCAGCTTGTTGCAACACAAGACTTTCCCAAGCGTGGGATCAATAAAGCTGATATTATCATTATTATTATTTCGTGCCACACAGAACGATATTAACATTGACTACAGCTGGAGAAGGTCCGTCACCAAAGGTGGAACCCATTAGTCCACATCTACAACATCTACAACATCTGCCTCCGAGCCCACAGGCCCAGCACCGTGCCTAAAACCAACATGTTTGTCCCAACAACAACACACCAATACATTTGTCAGCGTGTGTCAGCGGAGCTGCACCCAGATTACCGCGCCTGGACCGCTTCACCACAGCATCAGCGAAAATAAACGCAACGGTGACAATAGTAGGTCAGACGTGATGCATGGGCTCTGTTTGGAGAAGTTGCAGCATCCACTTCAAGTCTTGAACACCATCCATTAGTTTTCTGTGAGATGTAAAAAGTGCACACACAAACACACTCATCCTACACCCATGCTGAGAACCTGACCTCCCTCTCCTTCTGGCATCTAACAGTGGGCACTACATCACTGTCAACATCCAGACCACCAGGGAACTGCTCTGGGCCACTATTCTCTTGTAGCGCCAAAGCTCAGAGCTCCTCTGCGGCCCAGCCCAGGCCCAGACCCTGAATTATGGCCAAGCGAGAGCGGAACATCCGAGTGGGAAGTTGTTCCAATTTGTTGGCCTTTATAGAAAATGGACAGGTACAAATGGCTTGAGTTCTACCT